GAAGGCCACCACCCGGCACAGAGCCGAGCCCCCCCTCCCCTCCCCCCCGCCCCCTCCCTACCTGCTGCGGAGGCGCCTCCGAGGGCGCCCAGCAAGACGCTCAGCGCCAGCCAGACCGGCCCAGCCGCCATCCTGCCTGCGATCCTGGCCCCTCCGAACTGCTTCAACGGCCGCCCGACACGCGCCCGCCCCGCTCCGCTCCGCTCGCCTGCCTCGCTCGCTCGCGGCCGCCGCCTCTGGGGGAGCGGCGCCGGCGCTTTCCCGCAGCCGAAGAGCGGGGCGGGCCGTCGGGGCGCGGTCCAATCGCCGGCGGGCGCGAGCAGGGCGCGCGAAGGCCGGCCGGGCAGCCAATCGCGGGGGAGACAGGCGCCGGGATGGGCGGGGCGAGTGGCCAGCGCCGCCCGGGCTGAGGGTAGGCTGACGACGGGGTGGGAAGCGGGGCGGAGCCCCAGGCTCCGAAACGTCGGCCTTGGCGCGTGATTGACATAGAGATACACCAATCGGGTGAGGGAAGAGTCTGGCGTCAAGAGCCCTAAGAGTGCGCGTGCTGATTACAGCGCGCGACACGGCTCCCTCGACCGCGGCTGGGCGGCACGTACGCACAAGGGGCGGGCGCAAGACCTCCCACCAATGCGTGCTCCCAACGCTCAGGGACCCGGCCCAATCGCATCGCCGCGCCGTGAAGTGGCAGCGGCTGCGACGAGTCACGCGCGCAGTTGCCGTCCACGTGCACGTGCGCCCTCGACGCGGCTGCGGCGGGTCAGAAACCTGGAAGGGCCTCGCGGCCGTCTCCTCTGTGCGGGTCGAGGGCAATTATGAAGCCGTTGCATAACCCGGCACGGCGACCTTGTGCATCTCTATCCTAACACACACACACACACCTTAAAATATGTATATATGCATAAATAGGCTTATCATCCTATGTCATTCTATTTATACATGCTATTATATGGATAGAAAATATAATTGCATTGGGTGTAATGATTTATACAGAATGGAATGCATGTGACACGCGCTCAAGTGTCTTAAAAGCAAGCGAATCAATAACCCAACCACCTCTGTTGTCCCCCAGGGCACTCAAGTCTGTTAGGCCACACATTCCATCATCCCCAGCCTAAATGGGCTGTACAAAACTCTGGTTAGATAGAAGAATGATGCACCCTAAAAAAAGCCAGCCTGACAGAGTCATTGGAAATTATTAACTGCACTAAAAAGTAAAAATAAAAGTGGGGTGCAATCGCATGCATGCATAGACAGAAAAAAATCCAGTATGTCTCCCTATAAATTGTGCCCCCAGGTGTTTCTTTTTTTTAAGAGGCTGTTTATTTCAGTTGTTCTGGATGTGACAGAGGTCTAGAAAATTAGGCATGTTGAAATTGGCCAGAGAGAAGTTTTTCTCCTTTCTTACTAGAACCCAGGGTGAATGGCAGAGATTCAGGAATGAAAGGGAAATAAAAGGACTTATTTGCACTGGGCATAAACTGTGGAATCCACTCTGATGAGATGCTGGTCCAGCTGCCAGCTGGGATGGCTTTAAGAGGGGATTGCACAGATTCCATGGAGGATAAGGCCGTCCGTAGCTAGTGCTGATGAGGGCTACACATTTCTTCCAAGATTAAGAGGCCAGCTCTGTGAAGCACACACAGTGGTACCGCCTGCCTGTTGGGCTTCCCACTGGGGCATCTGGTTGCCCAGTGAGGTGACAGACTAGACCACTCTGGACTGGATGGTCCAGGCAGCTCATTTCCTTTGGCCCAAGGGCCAAGCTGCATTTTGAACACGGTCCTTGGGGCTCAACCAGATACTGGTGTATTTTATCTGACAACTCTTCTAGCTAGGAAGTCAACCTTAGAGGAGGCATTTTAGAGCGAGGCAAAGAATGGCACACAAGCCAGGAAACCTTCAAAAGCTCAAGCACCCCTGAGACATGGCTTAATTTGGTATGGTTAACTTTTATATTCCCAAGTCGGGCCATGACTAGAAGATTGCTGCTGTGGCACTGCAAACACCAAAGCTGCACTCCATGACTAGATAGTGTGAGGGAAAACGGGCAAAATATCCATCCAAAATGTTTGTCTCTCCCCTTCTTAAGTACATTTCTCAGTAAACACGTCTGAATTTCCACTTTTAAGTGAAAGGGACGCTCTTTTTAAACTGGAATTGGCACCATCTTGGGCTGCCAGAACCTTTTCATCTTGAATGATCAGTGTAATGCATTTTTGTACTATACAATCCTTCTCACTCAGCTTTCTTAATCGGTGCTGTACTTCAGTTCCCATCATTTCAGCCAGCCTCACTGACCAGCAATGATCTCTCACTTGAATCTCTTGGGCCTGACTCTCTAGTCATTTATGCCAGATTAAGAGAAATGGGTATGTCCTTTCCAAGTATGTCCTTTTATTAAATAGTTTCAAAACAAGGAAAAACAAACAACAAACAGACAGAACAAAACCACAAAGCAAAAAACATCTCACCTGCTGCTGACTTCAAAACAGCCTCCCTCCTCTTTCTACCAATTGCACTAAACTATTCTTTTCTGCCCACAAACCCCCCGCCCCCCAAGCTCTTTTGAAGAGTTCCTCCTGCCCCCAGGAGCGCAAAAGCACACTGCCACGGTGCAAGCAAACCCTGCTCCAGAGACAGGCAGGCAAACGGGGGAAGCTGGGCAAGCAAGGAGGTATCGAGGGGAAGTCGAGGTTGGAATATTTGCCCTCCAGAGGCAGTAACCATGACTGAGGTGTCAAACCCAAAGGGACCCCACCGCCCGAAGCTCCCGGATTGGTGTGGTTTTGCAGAGAGAATGAGCTGGCTCGAGTGAGCGAAACATTGGCAATCCTCACTGTGCAGAGGATTCTCCCAGGGTAAGGTGTGTACGATATTCCTAAGCAAACAAACCTAAGTGCTGTGTTTGGTTCCTCGGAAGCTTTCCTCATGCAGCTGGGAGGACCGATTGGGCTGCAACTGGCGGCTCAAGGCGGAGCTGAGGGAGTGGCTGCCCCTTCCCTCCCACTGTCTCAATTTCAACAAAAAGGGGGGGAAATCCTGAAGTAAAAACAACACAAAAGATAAAGGGGATTCCAGAACTGCCAACCCACCCCAGCCCCCCACAAATGCCCTCCCCACTACCCACTGTGCCAAGCAGAAGCCCCGTCTCCCTCTTGAGGTAGAGTTTTTTCGATTCATTCTGACTTATTTTCATATTGGGGCCAGAAAGGGTTCCACGTCTCAGCCGGTTGCATCCTGGGTTCAAGTAAACGAGAGAGTTTATTGCCGCCACCAGGAGCAGCAGCAGCAATGGCAGGAGGGGGCAGTGGAGGGGAAGGGGCGGAGGAAGGGGGGGAGGAGAGGGCCAGGAGGGGGTCCCTTGTCAAGATTCCTCATTGCCCGAGTCCTCCTCGTCCCCGTAGCAGCTGTCTTCCTCCTCCTCGTCCATCTCATCGTCCTCATAGTACTCATCATAGAAAAGATCGGACCCTTCGTCTGGCGTGGGCGTCTTCGTCTTGATGCAGTACTCCGCCAGCGTCGTCGGGACTTTGATGCCATCCCGCTCGGCATCCACCTTGGTGCCCAGGACTTGCTTCCTGGAGGGGGACGGAGACACGCCTCAGTGCGCCAAGGAGGCATGGAAAGGGCCACGAACACCTCCATCACGGTTCTCCCCCCAGGTTCTCCCCCCACGCCCCCGGCCAGCCCACCCACCTGATGAGGTCCGTGTATTCCTGATCGTTCCCTTTGCTCTCCTTCCACTTCCTGTACATCACGGAGGCGTCGACGTTCGCTGGGGAAAAGGTGTTCGGCTCGTTGAGAAGGGAGATCACGCTCAGGAGGATGGTCCTGATCCGGGAGGAAAGACACCCAGGAGGAGAGAGAGGAAGAGGTGTCAGGATGGTGGCGCAAACCCTTCTCCTGGCCACCCGCCCCCACTGTGCGGTGGGTTTCCTAGCACTGGGGTGGATCTTCCTCCTCATTCTGAAAGGCCGCACAAGAATTAACGCTGGGGATTTCGGACTTGCCTCTCTTTGTTCCTTTTCAGCCCTCTCTGTCACCCAAGGTCTTCTCTGAAATGGAATCTCGCCCTCAGAGCTCACCACCCCGAACGGTCCTGGGAGTCTCCCCTCCAAGCTCACTCCACCCCCAGACCTGCTTAGCTTCAGCGTGGTGGATGCCCAGAGTGCCTTTGGACCATACTCTGGGCCCAGGGGTTTTGCATACGGGCAAAATGGCCCAGGCTGGCTCCTGCTGGAAGCACCCCAGGTGTGACAGCGAAGCCTTCCAGCAGAGTTTCCTGCTGGCCGGAGTTGGCCATGCTGCACCTGCCATGCTTGAAAGAAGCCCAACCTGGGCATGGCTCTGCCTGGAGCACCAGAGGGAGGGTGGCGTGGGGCCGTCCCACAGCCGGGGGGGGGGGCAGGCCTTTATCATCCTTGGTCCCCCCCCCTCCACTGTATACACTGCAAAGCTCCCTGTTGGTTTGTGAAGTCTTCCCCCTCCTGGCTGAAGGTGTTATTACAGGCTCCAACCACATAGAGGCATTCCAGTTCTTAAAATTAATTAACGTGCTTTCGAGACAAAAGAACCCGGGGTGCAGAGCCCAGAAGCCCAGAGAGAACGCGAGCCAAGTTTTAGGCTTGTGAGCTTCATTGTCTGGGTGTACATGGCTGCCTGGTGGGAAGACACCCCCTGCCTTCTTGTTCCAGTTTGTCCTGGGCAGAGGTGAGACACGCTCGGGAAGGTACTCTTGTGTCCAACGGAAAGGCAAGGCAAGGCAAGGCAGAAATCGCTGGCTCTCCCTCTGAATGCAGGGCCCACGGCTGGCTACAGACACACATGGCGGCGGCGTGGGCACCTGCTTGGTCGGGACAGAAGCTGCTGCTGGCCGTTGGTAATTTAGTGATCAGTCAGATGAGTAGTCCAAGGGGGAGCTGGGGGGTGGCAGGCCCTGTCGCCACCCGCATGGGAAGCAGGGGGGAAGGGGAAGGAGGGGTGCTCACCTCACGTTCTGCGTCGGGTTCCACCTCTCCGAGGGCAGCTCTCCGCTTTGCGGGTCGTCCACAGGGGGATGTAAAATGGAGATGCAAACATCTCCCGTCTAGAAAGAGACAAGTTGCCATTTTTTCTTTTTTTTAAGGACGTATCATGAGAATGTGACAGTGATGCAAGAATGCAAGGGTCAAAGCCCCAGGGAGCCAATGCGGGGCAACGTGGCATCATGTAGCCTGAAATAATAAATAAATCGCCTTCACACCTCTAATCCTGCCTAAGCCCAACGATCGAGGAGAGTCATCTAGCGTACTTTTGCTTTTGTTAATTCAAAAGCATGCAAATATTTGTTTGAACTTCAGCCTGACGGACTGGAGGCCCCAGAGTTTATTCTGTGTGCCAGAGATGGCCAGCTCACGAAACGCGGGCTTTCCCCAAGCTTTCTAATTTGGGGAGGGCAGGGCATTAGTCACTGCTGCCCGAAAACATTTCTAAATCTTAAATCCTTGTCTACCTACTCAAAATCGCCCAGAGATCTGCTGGAAGGCCCTAGCTTCTTCCCTGGGCCTCCTGCCATGCACGGTGGGCAAGGGCCCTTCTTGGTGGCAACCATTAAACTCGGTCAGTTCGGCGCAAAAACGAAAAGGGGTCTTCCCAGTGGTAACCCCACGAAACGCTGTGGAACGCCCTTCCTGTCGAGGTGACCTCCTGGTGAGCACAGGAACGCGGGGCGCTGGGCCAGCGGCGTCCGTGCTGCCTGCAGCCCCGGCTCTACGGGGCTTCCGGCAGTTTCTCTTGCCCTCCCTGGACGTGCTGTTAGGAACTGAGCTTGGGCCATTCCGCCTGCTGAGCGGGGGCTTGCTCACCCGCTACAGCCCTGCCCTGTCTGGGGCTCATGGGTGTTGCAGTGCAACAGGCCCAGCAGGCCCTGGGCTGGGAAGGGTGAAGCAGGTGCATGGGAGCAGGGCGAGGCAGGCTGCGTCTCGCTCTCCGGGACGTACCTCGTAGATGTTCGGGTGCCACATTTTGGTCAGGAACCTGAAGGCAGGTGGCGAATAGGGGTAGTCAACGGGGAACCTGAGACGAGCCTGCGGGAAAGGAGGACGGTTAAGGGGGCAGCGCCAGGCGGGGGATGACCTGGCGCTCCACGGCACCGGTTGAGACCACCCGCCCTGCCTCTGAGGAAGCGGAACGACAGCGGAGATGGCTGAGCCTGGAAGACAGGTGGGGACGGTGGGGAGAGACGCTTTCCCGCCTCCCTCATGACCCCTGAACCTCAGTGGGGCCACCCCAGGGAGCTGACCGGTCAGGGATTCAGGACGAGTGAAAGGACAGGCTTCCTCGAGAGGCCTGGAATTAAACGCCGGCACTCGTTTCCACAAGAAGAAGTGCTGGCCAACCATTTTGGAGAGCTTTAACTGGGACTTAGATGAATTCCTGGAGGCGGCAGCCGTGGCTGGGCTGACACCTTCTGTCGCTCCCAGCAGCAGCAGTGAGCAGTGGCTGGGGAATATGGGACAGAAGGTGCCAATGGCCACTTTGGTCAGAAAAGCGGGTGGGGTTGCATTATCTGTTTCCAGCAGGGCCCCCAAGCCCTGGGCCACAGGCTGGTACCAGTCCGTGGCCTCTTAGGAACCAGGCCGCACAGCAGGAGGTGAGCGGGCGAGATCCAGAGTGCGAACGTGAGAGTAAATTTAAAATCTCTTCGAAGCTCAAACGACGCTTCCAAGTTTGAACCGCAGGCAGAGAAAAGGTGTGGTCCCCGCATAAACATCATCAGCTGCATCTCCTCTCATCTCCTGTCGCGTTTGTGCCCTTTTACGGCGGGCCTCCCCGACTCTCCTCACTGCCCCCTTGATCCTTTCCAGCCCCTTTTAACTGCCTGCCCTCCCAATTGTTCTCACTGCCTTCACGATCCTTTTCCGCTTCACCACTCCTCACTAAAAAATTCGGGCAGTAACTGCAATTTTCATTTTGTTATACAATACCATACATATTTACATGTTTTAGTGATTGTTTTCAAGTTTTAATTAATAAACTTGGCATTTGTGTTATTTTTACCTTAAATTATGTGTATTTACGGTTTAAGTTTATTGAGATGGGTATTGTTTGCGGTCTGGGAATGGATTAATTCACTTTCCATTATTTCTAATGGGGAACAATGCTTCAAATGATCCAGAAGTCAAACTGAAACTAATTAAGTTTGAAGTATGAGGCACCACTGTAATGCTCTTGAATCATCCCAAACCCATCGCTCCTCTCCAGTCCATGGAAAAATTCTCTTCCATAAAATGGTCCCTGGTGCCAAAAAGGTTGGGGGCTGTTGATCTATAGCATTCCCCGCTCCCAGTTCTTCATCCAGAAAGGAAAAGGCTCCCAGAACAGCTTTCAAAAATTAATTGCAAGCCAGTTCCCTGCCCTCAGGTTTATAGTCTCAAAGGCACAGCATAAAAGGAAAATGTATGGGGAAGGAAGAGGAAAAAAAGAAGCAAAACTCAGGCAACAGCGGTGAGTTCCCAAGTTGCCAAAGGTCCAACGAGGTCCAACATCGAGCCCTGGGGCCCTAGCCGACTTCTTCCCTAGGACTGTTTAAGACAAGACTGGCCATGTTGGCTGGGCTTGATGGGAGTCGAAGCATGAGGAAACAGCCTGGATGGCGTGGGAATGCTTTCTAGCAAGCCGCACTCCCCAGCTAGACTCGCCCACGGCTTTGCCCATCTGGCTGCCACTCCCTGACTCGCTGCCTTGTGACACAAACATCACTGTGCTCAAGTTACTGGGTCAGGGCTTGCACCTGCTCAAGGTTTAAGCCAAGATCGTACTTAGTCTTAAACTGGAGGGATCTGTTTAAGGTCAGGGGAGTCAAGATGACCTGCTCCAGCCACCACCCAGGTAGAAGATGAATCCAGACCATGAATAAAAACATGAAAACCTTCCAACGCTCTGGTGCACTTCTCATCTTGCCTCGTGGCAACAGCTCCTGCCTGTTCCTGGGCCCCCTGGGACATTCTCTAAACCAGCCAGATCACACATGCCGTGATGCCCCACAAACTCTCAGAAGTCAGCACTCGTTTCTTGCCTCCCGTTCATCCAAGGCCCGGGGCTTTCCTTAAAACGTAGCTTAGTCAGTTTTATATTAAGCAGACTGTGAGTCACTGAAACAAAGGTCTGCATAGACACACCCTGGTTGCTGGACTTCCTCTCAAACCATCCCAGCATGTTAAAGTTTCGATCACCACCCAGGTTTACCTCAGCCCCGTGGAGCACAGCCTTGCCTGGGCGAGTCAGCATCCACTCACCTGGTCGCCTGCGGTGAGCAAGACTCAGATCCAGGCGACCATGCTGTTGTTAATTAGAAGAAAGAGTTGGCTCCCTCTCCCCTTTCAGGCCATGAAAGTGCTATAAATGAGCAAAGAGTTCAGTATAGGCCAACGGGTGAAGAATATCGGATGTGTCAGATGATTTCCAGCTGCCGTCAACAACAAATGGTCTAGAGGATTCTGACACAGATGGACTAAGGCATCACGAGACAGCTTCCTTAATTTCTTCCTGTGCTTGGTCGTGTCTCGCACTGCTCTGGTTTCACACTGCCCCAGCCTATCCTCACGTTAGAGGTGAGGAGGCAAACCAATTGAGTGGATACACGGAGCTTTGAGACAGGGAGAACTGTTGCGTAACACCCTGCCTGGGGTTGCGGCCTGCCAGCTGGCCTTCAGGGTCATCCTGCCCCCGTGTATGGGAACATCTCCAGTCATCAAGGACCTTCGCTAATGCACCTTTCTGAATCTAATCCTCTTGTTTACAGCACTTTCCATGTGTGGGCATCACTACACCTTCTGGCAAGGAACTCCTTGATTGCCAGGTGTGGCAGTGTCTACCCAGGCCTAACGAAAGGGGTCCTTCCCACCCCCACCTGAAGAACCTGGGGGCTGAACCAGGGCCCTTCCGGGCACAAGGTAAGGGTTCTGCCCTGAGTGACACACCCCACGGGAGAAGCTCGCAGGGAAGGACAATGCCAGGAAGCCCCTGATACCTGGGGGCTGGGGGAGGCCTGGCCCCCTGGGTTCTGCTCGAAGGAGGAGTTTGCCACCCCATAGCCCAGGAGAGCTTTCTGGCCTCCAGGGCGGGCCGGCAGGGCTCCTTCGAGAAGTCGGACAGTCCCCCAGGAGGACGTGCAGGGACAGACCTGGGTTCCTTTCAGCAGCAAGCTCATGGCACTCCCTCAGCCTCGGCCGTCTCACCTGCGGCAACAGCACCACAACACGTACAAGGAGGCGCGAAAGGCAGTTATTTACACAGACCTGCAGAGAGAGGCCATCACAGCTCCTGCCCACTTAGGACAGGTGGGTTTCGCGTGGGCATAACTCACAGGGCTGTTTCACGAGGCAACCTACCCGATTCGGGTGGGCGAGGGGGACGGACACCCAACGCATCGCACCAGGTCATAAACAACTCCAGGCTGACTCACGACTGGAAAGGCAGAAAGGGACAGGCAGGAAGCCAGGAGTTGCAAAACAGGCTCTCAAACCAACATGACCTCCTCTGCCAAAATGTGCTCGAGGGAAACAGCTGGTTTGTTTACTTCCCCCACAGCCATATGACCTACTAACCAGTTATCCAGAAAAACAATGCTCTATACCTGACGTCCAGCTTCACATCCTCCCCTCCAGCCTTTGTCTGCAGCCCTGCTTCAGAACAATAAAGCAAGGATCTGGCATACACCATCCTTTCCAGCACCGCCCCAAAGCAGAGAAAGGCAGTTTCTTCCTGTGTTTTCAATTAACCACAGGAAGGGGTTGGGGTTCCACTCAAATCCTAACCTGTGGCTAACCCCAACTCCTGGAAGTTGAAAGAAGCCAGCTTCTCCGTAGGCCTTCCCCAGCTGGATGCTTTCTGAGGGACTACAGCTCCCACACCCTTCCTTGCCTTGCTGAGATTCATCCTGATAACAGCAATCCATGGTTTAGCAGCGTGTGCAGATGCAACCAAGGACTGTGGACAGGGGAAAACACATCAGTAGACAGACATACATTTTTTTTGCTGAGCACCCATCCCAGTGATTGGAAAGCTCTTATCTCCTCTGTGCCAAACCTAGTTTGGATTCATTGCTTCCCTTCTAGTCTTCTCCTATCATGGGGGCCAGGAGTGCTTCGCTTCGCCTACAAAAGCCTTTCCTAGTTTGGACTGCAGCCTTAGTAATTCTCCATTGTGGCAGGAAAAGAGAAAGGCTCTAGGCACTTGCAATGCTAAATGAGGCAAACAAGGAAGGTGCTGCAGTAATCCGGAAGTCCTCTTATTGTGACGAATTATTCCTGTAGTTTAGGTCATGCTGTCAGAAGGGAAAACAAGAGTTTTTTGGGCACCTTCGAAAACATGTTTGCTCAGAGGCAACTCAGCACTACCCAGAGATGTATTATTAGAAGCTGAATTATACAGAAAAGGCACACAAGGAGTTGTAGGACGTTTATTCTGTTGAAATATACATAAGATCACCCCGTTATTTACATTTCTACACCATATTATTCTATTGATCTTTTCATGCTTTCTGTTTGTTGTTCTGTCTATGTTGTACTTTTGATATGGGTCTCAAAGGATTTTTACCGTTACTTGTTGTGTTCCACATTGAGTAAAACTACATTTTAAAAGTCAGGCTGTATTTCAATAGAAAGCAAATATAGAGGCTTCTGTTTAAATTTTTCAACAGGTCTCCAGCACTTACCCCCTGCTCCAGCTATAACTGCAGGTAGAGAAAAACATTTCTGCCATTTTGCCCCTATTACAGACAGTGGGGAGTTAAGTTTCTCTTTTACGGTTATGGTGTTATATGTCTAGAGCGCAAATAAGAACAATTCCTTTATCCTTGTCCCTCTTATGGGCGGCAGGCATGGGAGGAGAAAAGAAAGAGTTTGTTCTGATTATAGTCTACTCCTTTTTCTTGTCCCTGCTACTTCTCTCGGGCAGCGGGGAGGCGGTGTCAGTGATTCTTCCCTGGCATTACAGTTATAACCTAAGAAAACCTATTTTTTTGTCCTGTCATTATTACCAGTGGTGTGCAAGCATGTACAGGCGGGCAAGTAAGTTCTTAAATGGTGATGGGCAAGGAATGAGAATTCCTTCCTTTCCTTACAAGTCATGCAAGATTAAGAGATTCGTTTATGATGAAAGGTTAACACATCCTTTGTCGTCTTTTTTATAGGAAGGAGGCATGAAGTCATGGTCTTTGATGGGGGTGTGTGGAAATAATACTTTTTCCCTTGTTTTTCGTACGGGGGTATTAAGTCATTTTTTTAGGATGGGGGAAAAGAATCCAATCCAATCCTTTCCTTTCCCTCGGGGGGGTGGGGGGGATTAAGCCATCCTTTCATGAAGGGGGCAACCCTGCCTCTCCTCCTCCTTGCCCTTTTCCCCGTGGGGGAGACGTCAACCCACGGTGGGTGGGTGGCGGGGGGACAAGCCCTGCTCCTCGCCCCGGTCCCCCCTCCCCGGAAACTGCCCCTGGCCGCTCACCTTGAAGTAGCCGCCCTCGTAGTGGGTGTTGGGCGGCCCGAAGATCGCCACCTCCCAGTTGTAGAGGTCCCCCTCGTCCACCAGGCTGACTCGGAAGCCCTCCACCGGCTCCTCCTGCAGCCCCTTCAGCTCCAGCAGCAGCGCCTTCTGCGAGCTGGGCACGGACGGCCGAGCCATGTCGCCCGGGGCGAGGTCGGGGGCGAGAAGAAAAACGCGGGCGAGAAGGGGAAGGCCGCGGGGGAAGCGGGGGTCTCGCGTAGACGCGGCGGCCGCGGAGCGGGAGCCGAGGACGGGCGCGACGAAGCGACGCTGCCAGGCGAGCGGCGATGACAACAGAGCGCGCGGAGCGAGCTGGGAGGCGTAGTTCCCCCGGGGGCGGGGCCTCCCGCGCCACGCCCCCCGCCTCCGGCCGCCAATAAGGGGCAGGAGAGGAGGGGCGCGACCGAACGGGGACGGACTTCGGCTCTCGGAGGCCTTGCGAAATACGCAGGCGCGCGCTCGCCTTCGGAGCCGCCTTCCCCAACCTGGCGCCCTCCAGACGCGTGGCTCCCTAATGGGAGAGGGCGACCGGGGGGGAGGCCGGTGGAAGCTGCAGGAAGGGCCCTCTAAGGGGTGGCAGTTTGCTGGGGGATTGTTCCCGGAAAAATGGTTTGCCTTGAGCCAGTCCATCTTTGCAGCCCCATAGCTGGATTTAAAATTTCCCCCTTGCATTTTATTTTCCCGAAATGTGAAGTACCTTTGAATTTTTGCCTTCAACCCACTTTTAAAATGTTGTTCATTTTATTTGCATTTTATGTTGATATTATTGCTTTCCATGGTTCACATAAGCACTTCTGGAATTACTTAAAAAACCAACGTAAGAGATACATAAATTCAGTATTTATGGATTTCATCCCCTTTTCACTCATCTGCCATTACACACCTAGTTTCCCACTGCCCCTTATTTTGCAGAGGTAAGTTTCTTTTATTGGATGTTCTGAAGCAGTGCCCGGCCGAGGTAATGGGCTGGATGTGGGCCAATGAACTGAGACTCAATCCAGGTAAGATGGAGGTCCTGTTGGTGGGCAGTTTGGGTTTCAGGTGAGTGATTTTGATCCTGTTCTGGACGGGGTTGCACTCCCTCTAAGGACAGGGTCCGCAGCTTGGGGGTACTCCTTGACCCAGAGCTGACCCTGGAGAGCCAGGTGTCCGCCGCGGCGAGGAGGGCTTTCCTCCAGCTTCGGCGGATCCATCAGCTGGATACCTGAATAAACGTGGATCAACACTGCCTGGCAACGGTGATTCATGCTCTGTAACCTCCTGGCTGGATTATTGTAACGCGCTCTATATGGAGCTGCCCTTGAAAACGGCCCAGGTACTTTAACTGGTACAAAACAGAGCTGCCAGGATGCTGACGGAGGCCGGTTGTTATTCCCATATAAAGCTGATCCGCTATCGGCTACACTGGCTCCAAATTGAAGTCCGGGCCCAATTCAAGGTGCTGATATTAATCTATAAAGCTCTGAACGGCTTGGGACCGGGATACCTGAAGGGACATCTCTTTCCTTATATGCCCTCATGCCCCTTAAAATCTGCAGGAGAGGCCCTGTTCCGGGAACCCTCCCTGAAGTAGGTAAAAAGGACATGTTGCCAATTGCAGCACCCCAATCACCCCAAAAGTCATTCTCCAGAGAAAGGCCCCAAAAGTAGTTGGCCAGAGGAAGCCCACATAGTAAAAACAAAAACTTGAAACTTTATATTATCTATTTTGTGCTTTTCCTCCTTATTTTGCTTGCTGTTGCTGACCGTGTTTGTCAACGATTATTCATTCTAATATTCCTCAGACTTGCACATGGTAGGCATGTCATGGACTCATTCTGCTTCTATGCTTCTCTGTTTCTCTGTTCAAATGGCCCTCACCTGCACCAGCAGTCTGCACCTTCAAGGCAAAGCTGCAAAGGCTTAGTAACCTCCCTCCCTAATCAAGAGGAATCTGCCTTTTAATAAGAAGATTCCTTTGAAGGGGGGAAATGGTTGCCAATTGCAGCACCCCAAAACACCCCAAGAGTAATTGGCCAG